GTAGTCAAGTATGGGTGTGAGAGTTGGACCATAAAGGAAGCTGAACACCAAGGAATTGATGCTTTTGAACTGTGGTGTTGGAGAAGGCTCTTGAGAGTCCCTTAGACTGCCAGGAGATCCAACCAGTCCATCCTAAAGGAAATCAGTTCTGGGTGTTCATTGGAAGGACTGATGTTGAAGCTGAAACTCCAATATTTTGACCACCTGATGCGAAGAGCTGACTCATTTGAAAAGACCCTGATGCTGGGAAACATTGAAGGCAGGAGGAGAAGGGGACGACAGAGGATGAGATGGTTGGGTGGCATCACCGACTCAATGGACATGAGTTTGGGTAAACTCCGGGAGTTGGTGACGGACAGGGAGGTTTGGCATGCTGCGGTTCATAGGGTCGCAGAGAGTCAGACATGACAGAGCGACTGAAGTGAACTGAACTGACCCAACCCAAGATGCAATAATAATATTATAAACACATGTTTTATTCAAGTATTTTATTTAATATTAGATTACTATCACATATTAATTACTATTTTCTAATTATGCAAATACTATTAATACATTGTTGTTGCAAAAATTAAACTCCATAGATAAGGCAAAGGTCCCCTAGACAACATCAATCCCAGTTCCTTCCCAGAAGTCACTTAATAAGAGTGATCTGTATCTTTCTTAAGCTTCTATTATACACACACAAACACACAGAAATTACAGTTTGATTTGTTTTGCTTTTGCATAAATGATATGGTACTATGTATATTGCTATGCAACTTTTTAATGACACTACGTGTTTTGGAGATCTTTCACTTTGGTATGTACAGTCCAGTCCATCCTTTTAAACTGTATATTATATCAAAGGATTTTTAATTTCTAACCTACTGGTGGATATTTAGGTTGAGTTCAATTTCTCTCTCTCTAAAGAGTAATACAATAAACAAATCTTTATCATGTCTCTTTGTACATATAAGTATTTCTCTAGGGTCAATACTAGAAATTGGAATTCCAAGGTAGAAAATATATGCATTTGAATTTCTAATAGATACTTTCAAATTGTTCCCTCTTCTAAGGCTTTTATAATTTTTTAAAATTTTTTCATCAATTTGGAACTTATTTGGAGGCTAAGAATGAGGAAGGATTGATCTTTTTTCTTCATATAAATGACTATCCAGTTGTACCAAAAGCATTTACTGACTAATCTATCTTTTTTCCCAATGGATCTGAAATGGTGCCTTTATCATCTATTAAATTCCCACCTATGCTGGAGTTTAGTTTGGGATTATCTGTCCTGTTCTACTGATACATCTGTTCCTACATCAGTGCCTTATGCTTTAGCGACCTTAGCTCTTTAGTAAATTTTAATATATGGTAGGGCAAGCCTTCCAGCATTAGTCTTATTTCTTATGCTTTTCTTGATGTCCTGCATTTTTCTGGGGTAATATGTAACTGTTTTAAAAAGGAGTAAAATGTATAAAGGTTATAAAGAAATATCCCTTTTCATATTTACATTGTTTATCATCACACCTCCTTCCTTTTAGATTGTCATATATAAAAATGCACGCAGAGAGACTAATTTTATGATGTATGGTCTTGAAGCCAAATACCAGTCACAGGAGAGTATGATCAAGGGAGGTGAAGCAATGGGGCAGGGGAAAGTTGTAAAAGGGGAGTAACTATGGTGGGCAATGTTGCCAAGTAGAGATCTTGGGAGCAGCTATCTGCTAAAGAATTAGAATCCAGGGGAAAAGAAATCCCCTGGAAGCCCAAAATGAGTTGGGAGAATTTTAAGCCAGAAACTAAGAGGTTAAATCTGAATGCCTAGGAAGAAAAGGAAAGCGGGGTGCTAGAGTACAAAGCCAGACAGCCAGTCCGCAAGTGTAAAAGAGAGATTGTTTCTAAAAGCCTTATCAGAATATTAAACTCAGATCAAAGGAACTTGAATACTGAGACTGTGCTCTGCAGTTTATCTGTCTTATACTCAATCTCTAATCACACTGAACTAAAACACTTTTTGTATGCCTCATTTACACACCTAACCTGTGAGTATAGATGATCTTCCTCTTGGCTGTCTGACAAGATGCTGAAAGGGAAGGTAATGGTCTTTATATATAATTTATTTATTTGACTGTGCCAGGTCTTATTTGTGGCATGTGGGATCCAGTTCCCTGACCAGGGATCGAATCCTGGGCCAGCTGCCCTGGGAGCTTGGAGTCTTAGCCATTGGACCACCAGGAAAGTCCCGGTAATGATCTTAATAAAGGTCTTTAAAGTTTAACCTCTGTTGTCTTGAGGCCACTCATGGCAAGTGCTGTTTATGGTGTATAAAGGGGTCAGGAGTTGCACTTAAAGTGGGGCACATGAAGAAGGCCAGGCCTCCAAACCTGGCTACCAGATGTCCCTGGTCATGGTGGCATGGTCAGAGGGGCTGCTTTGGCAGCTTCTGTAGTAGAAATCTTCTGGAGATGCCCATCTGGGTGCCTGTGGCAGAGTCCTGGCCACAGGATGTCCCCTTGGATACTGCCAGATGCTCTGGTTGCTGAGCACCTTGCCTGGCAGGCAAAGCAGTTACCATGACAAACATACACACACACACGCACACACCCCTGTGATTTTTTTGTGTTTCTCCTTTCCCATTAAGTACCAAGGTATTCCAGGGACAGGCAAGCAAAGCTCTCAGAACAGAATGTCCTCTGCACCAGGAAGCAGGGCAGGGAAGGAAAGTGGAGATGTGTATATGTTATGACTGAATGAGACTTCATCAGTTTAAATGCCTATGTACCTGCTTCTGTGTTCAGATGTGTTGTATATCAATGTATGCATCAGCATGTATCATGCAAATGGTCAGGTCACAGTTTATCTGCCCATTTGTTTCCTACTCCCCTCCCCTCTCTGTTGCCTCTGTGCTGTAAGAATCACCCAGCCCTCCAACCTTTGCTGAGCAGAAGTGCTGAGTCATGGCTCCAGCTGGGTTTCTTTCTCCTATCCTCCATCTTCAGTCTTTCCTCAGGCCACCCCTCCCTCATTCCTGCTGGACTCTCTGGGCCCTCTTCACCACCTCTGTCCTAAACCTGGACTCCTTTTCCCAGAGGTTTACTTCTGGGCAGTCAAGAGAAGGCACATCACTCTGTTTCTGCATTTACTCCCTTCCACTTTGCCTTCTCAAAAGACTGCTCCGAGTCCTTCTCTTAATGACCACCTTCTTCCTGAGAAAACAGGAATCTGACCAAGTTTGACCCAGGAGGCTAATTCTTCCACGTATTCGTGCTGATCCTCCTCCGGTCCCTCACTACTTAATCGGATTATGGCAATGTCTCCTGCCTGGGGCGTGGCAAAGGAAAGTGAGATTTAATTTGCCACCAGGCACTGAGGCTTTTTTCTCATTCTAGGTCTCCAAATGCCAGACCACAGGTTCTTGGAGGCAAGAGCGCTGTCGCCCACCTGTATGTGTGCGTGTCCGAGTGCGCATAGGAGTGTAGTAATAGAAGGGTGCTGTGTCTATGCTTTCAGGAGCAGAATCTAGAGGCCCCCTCCCCAAGGATGTTTGAGGGTCTCTTTCCCATTCTAACACAGAAATCCCACTCAAATAATCTCGATAACTAGTTCCAAATAAGAGGGACCAGGATTGTTCTCTGCAACCTCCCCGCCAGAGGTGAGAGAGTGGAAAGTGCACCCTCCTCCCCCGCCCCGCCCCGCCCCGCCCCGCCTGTTCAGTCTGGTTACTATGGCGACAGCCGCGGGGTGACCCAAGTGCTCCTCCCTCTCTCCTTCCATACCTAGAGAGATGACGGCACCGCGCTGACTGCGCCAAATTCCAGCCAATGGGCGACTGCACCCGCCTTTCCTTCCACCAGCTCTCCCCACCTCCCCCCGGGGAACTCGATTCACAAATCTGGACTGGGGATTTCCGGCTACTGGCCGGTTGAGAGGGCGCTGGGCAGAGTCCGGGCAAGAGTTGAGATCTGTCTTCCTAGGAGGACAGTCTTCCTGGGTTCTTGGGCCAGACTCCTGTAACTCACCACCAGAAAGGATCACATCTACTCCCAAATTATCCGCAAAACCTGAGGCTGTCTGCAGCTCCTCCTACTCCTGCATGCCCTCCCTCACCCTTTCGAGTGCGCCCCGTCAGTACCACGGACAGCGAAACAGGACCTTTCTAGGTGGGCTTCTCCCTCTTCTCTCCGAATGCTTCGAAGGTCTCCGTGGAGACCAGGGTCACAGACGCCAGCGCTCCACTGCAACCAGGGCCTCCTCGGGCCGATGAAAAACTGAACGGGGCGCTTAGTTAAGTGGTTAAGAAGGCAATGGGTACCAAAGAGGAATCTCAGGCTAAATAGCTTACTTTTCTTCCTTCAACCCCAAAGAATGGCTCCTGAGTCTTCCAGGCTGCCTGTGTGCTAGCCTCCCTGGCGATTAAGGGCTAGGTCTGAATCTCAAGCAGGGGTGGACCTCCCAAAGCTGCCCTGGGTAAGCATGTGGCTGAAACAACCTTGAAGCAGCCCCATGGGTAGGGGAAAGAGTATAGGGCTAAGTGTAGCATTCAGGCCCCACCTGAGAGTGGTGAAGACAGACTTAGCCAGGCCTGACTGAACTCTTGACAGAATGAATGGCAGGGAGAGGTGGAGGAAAGAGAGAAAATGACAATAACTAGCTGATGCTGCCTCAATGAGCCACTCTGTAAAAGGGGAACAATTTCTGCTGTCCTCATCACTTATCCCCTAAATGGCCTGGGCGTTAATACGCAGGTGGTCAGAAAAGATGAAGGCAGGGGTGGCGGGGGGGTGGGGGGACGGGGTGGGGCAGGAATTCAGCCTTACCACCAGGCCTCATCCTCTGGCTCCCTCACTTTGCTCTCTGTAAGATGGAAGTCAGTGGGGGGAGGGGTGACGGAAACAGTAGCCGTTCTCAGGGACTCGACCCCTCCCCACTAGGCCCGTGGGGGCCCGAGGGCCCTGCCTGCGATAGTTCCACTCCCGCTCCCTCCCTCCCAAGGCCCAAAAAAAGGCTGGCGCAAAAACATCTGCAGGCGCTTCCAGCGCTTTATAGTTCTCTCCCGGACAGACGGACAGACAGACAATGCGGCCCGCACCGTCGGCCCGCATCATTGGCACCTTGGACACGGCACCAGGCCCAACCCAGTCCCTGGTACCCTCCCAGGAGAATTCTGGTCCGGCCTCAGATCAGCACCTCAGACAGTTCCGGGCCCACCCCACCCCTCCCCCCTCCCTCCGGAAACAACCAAATAAATTAAAAGTGGGGGTGGGTGGGAGGGACAAAAACATCTAAGGGCAAGGAAGAGGGGTGCTCCTCCCTCAGAGTAAGAAGAGTATTCTGTCTCCTCCCACCCTTCTGCTGAGGCGCCGCCGCCACCGCCGGGGTGACCTCCTAGGTTGATTTTTGCTCCCAAACCTCAGCCTCCTGAAGGTGGCATCCCCCTCCCCCCAACTCCCGGCATGCAACACATTGGAAAAGGTGGGGAGAGGTGGTTGGAATGGGGCGAAGGACCATCCTGGTGGTTGTTTGGGCTCCCAGGGTTGCAGTTTCTGCTGTACCTCAGCCGATCCCAATCAAGAACTCATGTTCCCTTTGGTCTGGGGAGGAGAATACGGGGTCGCAGTCGGAGGGAGAAATGCAAGCTAACACAGGCGGAGAGGGGGTAAGGCAGACGGGAGGGGGAAGATGGTGACACATGCCAGGAGCGAGAAAAAGAGAAGGGGAAATGGGGACAGGGCTGAGAAAGAGAAACGGGGCAATGAGAGCGACTCAGATAGTGGATAAGATGGAGACGGAAACACACACCCAAGGAATGGAAAGTGGAACTGCGAGGAGGAAGGTGGGAAGGCAAAAGATGAAGGAAGGAGGGAAGGTGAAGATACAGGAAGAAGATGAAGAAATGGACAAGTCCGAGGGAGACGGACTTACACAGAGAAGGGAAAGGGAAGACTCGGGCAGAATTGGAGAGATGAGGGCGCAGATAGAAAGGGTGAGGTTGGGGGTTCCTCTCCCGCGCTCATCCCCCACCCCCACCCTGCGCCCAGCAAATCCAAACGCCGAGGCCTCTGGCATCCTGGCCTCCACCTTCCCCTGCGGGGCAGGGGCGGCTCCTCCTCCGGCCACGGCGCGGAGCGGCGGTAGCAGCGGCGGCGGCTTGATGGTCCTGGGGGCTCCGAGTGTGTGTTAGGGGCTGGGGCGGGGGGCGGGAGCGGCCCTGGGTTATCCCTAGCGGTCCAGGTTCATAGTCCAGTGCTTGGCTCCAGTCGCGCAGCTGTCCCTGGCGGCCGAGGAGGAGGAGGAGGTGGAGGGAGCCGCGGGCGCGCCCCCGTTGGGTGGACCCCCGGCGCTGGCGGAGGCCTCGCCCTCGTTCTTGAGGTCTTGGAAGACCTGCGTGAAGAAGTGGGGGTCGGCATTGAGCCTCAGCATCTGCGGGCTGAGCCGCTGGATGAGGCGCAGGCAGCGTTGCCAGAAGCGCTCCTTGTCGGGCTCCACGAGGAAGGGCTTGAGCGGGTAGGAGATCTCGTTGCCCATGTAGGAGTAGGCGAGGTAGAGGCAGGTGAGGAAGGCGGCCTGCAGCTCGGCGGCCGACGCCAGCTCGTCCCCGCGCAGCGACTCGCGGCACAGCAGGTACACGAACACCAGGTTGGCGGGCGTAATGAAGGCCTGGTCTTGCCAGCCCTGCAGCAGCAGCGAGCGGTCCACTCCGCGGAACCAGCCCACCAGCTCGCCTGGGCTCAGCTCCTTGAGACGGTAGCAGCGCCGGCACACGAAGTCGCCCAGGCAGCGCAGCAGCTCGCCGGTAGAAGCCTGCACGATGACCCGCCGCGGCGAGCCACCAGGGACCGGCGGCGCCGCCTGAGGGGCTGGGGGCGGCGGCGGCGGCGGCGTCCCGGGCGCGGGAACGGGCAGTAGAACGCGGCTGCTTTGGATGTTCTGCGCCGGCTGCTCCGGGTCTGAGCTGCGCCAGCTGCAGCGTCAGCCCCACCCCTTGGGCCCAGTCTTCGCCGCGCCACGCCCCGTCTCACGCAGCCAATCGTTGCCCAAGCTGTCCTCCTAACCGGCAGCTGCGCTGACCAATAGAATCTCTCATGCCAACCTCAAGTTCCGCCCACCCCCATGCCTTGGTCTCTGGTCCAGTCCCTTCACCAGAAAGGCGAAAGGAGGAGGAGGTGGCTGGTTCGAGGACCTCGTCAGGGTCAGAGCCGGTGGGTGGGTGGGTGTGGGAGGCTGCTCCCACCTACCCCTACAGGCCCTAGGGCCCTGAGTCAACTTGATTTGATGCACTGGATCGCGCTAGCAGAGATGCCATGGGAACAGCCTTCCTCCCCTTTTGATTACGTGCTGGGGCCGGGGTGGGGGTGGGGGCGCAGCGTGGGCAGCTGCTTCATCGAGGCGAGTGCTTTCATCAAGGCGCCCAGGCCCCAGCTGGGTCACACTGCACCAGCTCCTCCAATCTAGCAGTCGGTGGATTCCCTCTTAACTCTCCTCCCTTCCCTTTCCCCATGTGGCCACCAGGGAAGACTGCAGCAGGGGTATTCTTGCTCTGCCTGTGATGAGGTGTTGGCTGGGCCCTGGTCTGCCTGAAGGTCCCAACCCCCCTCCTTAGAGGCCTTTACTCTGGGAGTGGTAAGATGCTCAGATTTGTCGCCGAGGCCACGGTTTGCCGACCTGATTCTCTGCTGCTGAGTCTATGATAAGAGGCCCTGAGCTCTGGTCCCTGAGCTCTTGTGCTCTTTGCCCCTCTCCCCTCCAATGCCCTGATTTCACACTTGGGTGGATGATGGGTGATCGGTCCCTGGGGAAAGTCTGGAACTTGGTCGGTCCAGCCGCAGATAGCAGGCGGGCCGTCTATGCAGAGGGAGGCCCAGGAGGGTTGGTCCCACCCATGGCCAGTCCTGGGTCCAGGCTGAGATAGGTTTTCATTGTCACATGCTCCCTGCCATTCAGGTCCTAACTGACCCCATTCCCAGCTCCAGGCTATTAGGTTGGGTCCTTCCCATTTCTCTCTGGGTCTGTCTGTTCTCTCCTCGGCACCCATAAGGCCTTTGTCCTGTATTTGGTATTCTCTAGGCCTTACCTGCAGGTCTGGAGCCCAGCTGGTTTTGGGCTGTTCTATCTGCCTTGAAGGACTGTGTCCACCCTTCTCCTGGCCTGCTCTCTGGCTCCCCAGCACAGGAATCTTCTGGCTTCTTAAGTGGACTTTGGAGGTAGGTGTGGGTTTCATGGAGGACAGAAGCCTTCGCTTATCCCTGGTGGGTCAGATGGTAAAGAACACACCTGCATTGCAGGATCCCTGGGTCAGGAAGATCCCCTGGAGAAGGAAATGTCTACCCACTCCAGTATTCTTGCCTGGAGAACCCCATGGACAGAGAGCCTGGTGGGCTACAGTTGATGGGGGTGCAAAGAGTCTGACACAACTGAACGACTAACATACACATGGATTCAGCAGAATACTGACTTGGCCCTGGAGTCACCTCTATGCTCCTCAGAGACCACCAACCCAGCTCCAAGGATTCATTGCTGTCAGGGCTTGTGTGTATGCACATGTGTACCTAGCTCATTCCAGAGAGGCTATTTCAGAATCCCCAGGGGCTGCCAACAGAGGCACCAGCTTTTCTCAGCTGTCCCACAGGCCCGCCCCCACCCCACCCCTGTGGGGGCCTGTGGTCTAGCTGTATTGATTCCCTACCATACACCACCTTACACAGGCCAACTGTACCCTTCCCTGACTCAGCACTCAATTGTACTTTCTCAGTGGGGTCTCTCCTGTTCCCTTAGATCTGATCTTTGTTCTCTCACAGTTCAAGCTGACCTGCCCAACCTCTCATTCTCCCCATAGTTACTGAAAAATGTTCCCTCTTTTCAGTTTCTGTAATTGGTCCTACTTCCTCCTACAAGGCTTTCTGAGTCGGCCTTTATCTGACACCCAAGGAACAGTCGGTTCACCAGTAGTTAAGGACAGGCCCCATAGACTGAGTTGCACTGCAGAGACACCAGGCACGTGAATTTGAATGGCACGTGGGTCCTCTGCTCCCAGGAGTCCCTCACTGACGTAAGGCCTACTGCTGGTGTTATTCAGGACAAGAGTCTGTGCAGCCCCTATAGACGTCACCGCTATGGGATCCCCGTTACAAGTCCAGCAGTGACCTGCTGTCCTCTTAGAATTGAGAGTTCCCTCCTCTGCTTCAGGTGACTTAAAAGATCTTATTCCCCTTCTCATCTTCATCTTGCCCTGCCTCAGACCCCCTCTCTTGGGCTCACATGATCACCACTCTCCTAGTCTGGTCATCCCTCTTGAATCTCTGAGCTCCTATCACTGGGCCAGGACCCTCCCTCAGACCACCAATCTGCCTTTGTCAAACTCTTGAAATTCCATCTCCTTCAAGAATCTTTTACGGACTGACTGGGAGGGACCTGACACCCTTCCTAACATCAATCTTTCTAACCTCTTCCCCTGTCAGCAGCAGCTGCTACATAACAACTCGGTTAAGGGCTGGGCTCTGAGTTCTCAGTCCAAGATGTGCAAGAATATGGATGGAATTTTTAAAGGACAAGAAGACAAAATAATAAAAACAAATCTATAAAGAGTTATGGCATTCCTGTTACCAAAAAAGCTTGCAGTATTAAGGCAGGAGAGAGGGAGTTATGTCTCTACAGGGTGGAGGCCAAGGAGAATAAGCACAGTGAAACTGGAAAGGCATCCTGAGAAGGTGGGCTTTATGGAAGGACAGTGGACCACCAGGGAATTCCCAAATGAGCCCCATCTTTAAGGGAACATCCAATGGCAATGCTGCTCAAACTCTTCTGCCCTTTGGCTGCTTTTTATCTTTTTATCTGATAAGTCATGGTCTAGGAGGCAGGAGTTTTCAGTTCAGTTCAGCTCAGTTGTGTCCGACTCTGTGACTCCATGGACTGCACACCAGGCTTCCCTGCCGATCACCAACTCCCAGAGCTTGCTCAAACTCATGTCCATCAGGTCGGTGATACCATCCAACCATCTCATCCTCTGTCAGGAGTTTTAGTCCACAGCTTATTAATTGTATGACTTGGGGAAGTCATTTCAGCTCTCCCTTCACATTACAATGCAGGAATTCTACATATTTTTTATTATTAGGCAAAAAAAAAAAAAAAAAAACTGAAGGAGGAAGATAATATCTTGGGATTAAACTTAAAAATGGTTCTTAAAGCCTCTTCTAGCTCTACGAATCTGTTTCTAAATAAAACCTGCCCTGTGAATCTGTTTCACTTTCTAGCTCCAGTCCTGTCTGGTTTTCCCCGTTTCTTGCCTGATGGGCTCAGGCTCGTGTGCACAGCATCTGTGTGAGGCCTGCCCTTCTGCAGTTCTACCCAGGAGATGAAGGGGAGGGGTGCTTAGGCTCTCAGCAATGTATACGTTCCTAGGTCCCTCCAAGCTTTAGGGGAGGGGAGCCTGAAAGATGGTGCAACAAAGGACAGGATGCCAAGATGGCCAAGTTCCAGGGTCTCTCCAGTAAACTTCAAAGCGGGAGGCCCTGGAACTCAAGGTCATTGCATCTCATGTCTCCAAGTGGCCCCTTTTATAAAGGGGCTGATGACAATGTAGGTTTTTAAAACGGCCAGAGAAGAGACTCAGCCTGGGCATCTGAATGCCTGGATCTGGCTGCCTCCTACCCTGATTCAGTACTCTCACCTGAAGGCCTCGGCTCCTGAGGTGTGCAAAAGGAGAGCATATGCACCAGCCCTCCCTCCCTCTATGGAGGACCTTACCCCAGGGGAGCTGGGGTGGGGAAGCAGTGGAGGGAGTAGGAACCCCGCCTCCCCCCAGGCAACAATGGGGAGTGTAGAAAGGAAGCAGAGAGGGACTTCCCTGGTGGCCCAGTGGTTAAGACTCTGCACTTCCAGTGCAGGGGGCAGGGGTTCGATCCTTGGTCAGGGAACTAACATCCCACATGCTTCGCATGGCCAAAAAAAAAAAAAAGAAAGAAAGCAGAAGAGATGGACTTGACAAAGGAGGTGCTGCTAGCTGCCAAGAGGGAAACCCCATGTTCTCATGCCTTTCACTTTCCAGCAGACCCCGTGCTAGGCGGACTTAATTGAGGAGCCCAAATAAAGGCTTTATAGAAAAGAAAATAGGGTTGATAAGCACAGTTGCAGAAGTGGTGCTCCGGGACAGGGAGAGAAGAGACCAAGGCTGAGAAGCTGGAAGGCCCAGGATTAAGGGTCAGGGGAGGACAACGGCGAGGCTGGGGCTCCTTTTCCTTGCCCTGAGCTCTGCTCCCTTAATAAAGCCTTGGTCTACCCTCTAGGTTCCTGATGCCAGCCCTCCCACATCCTCATACTTCTTCATACTTGGACCTTCTCTCCCCGGCTCTCTGGCTCCTGCTTTCATCTCCTTTTGTTGCCCCCTAAAAACAGTTCTTTCTACCCAGTCCTCCCAGCCACATATGTATATATATCTCCAATAGCTTTATTTCTCAGTTCATCTTCTCCTGCCTCCACCAAGCCCATTTTTTGCCTCCTCTCTTTCACCCCCCAACCCCAGCCACAAGCATCTCTGTCTCTTCCCTGCCCTGCTGGAGCCCAGCATAGCACTCCAGATGCAGGAGCAGATCAAGAAGGGTGGGGGTGGTGGCTGTTGCTTTTCTGGGATATTCTTAGCCTGTCTGGGGGCTGGAGCTGGAATCAGCGTTTCCATCTCAACCAGGCAGGTGGCTGCAGGAAAGCTGCCGCTGTGACTAGGTCTTCGTGTAGCTGTCTGTCTCCTTCCCTGTCTCTGTCCTCTATCCTGATTCCACCCTGTGAGTCCTACCTTCCCATCTTGGTGCCCTGGGATGGGAGAGGGGTTCTCTCTGCCCTGGCTTGAGCCCAGGGAGGTTTGAAAAACCCTGTCTTGGAGACTCTTGGGGAAAGAAAA